CCAAGGTTTGGTGCTCCCATAGTTCGTTCCGTTATTCTAATTCATTATTTTGACTCAATTTTATTTTATATTCGATAGGTTTGATCTTTGTTGTGGACAGCAACGACCGTGAAAGGGTCAATGAAGCCCGCGATGAACTGATGCGCATGCTTGGAGAAGATGAACTTCGGGACGCAGTGCTTTTAGTGTATGCAAACAAGCAAGACCTTCCAAATGCAATGGCTACTTCTGAGCTAACAGATAAAATTGGCTTACATTCTTTACGACATCGTTCGTGGTATATCCAGGCCACATGCGCAACTTCCGGAGAAGGTCTTTACGAAGGTTTAGATTGGCTCAGCAATCAGCTAAAAAATAAATCTAGGAAATAGCATCGTGTCTATTTACCCCAGTGATAACGAATTTTACCATATCAAGGTAATGGACAAATTCTCTGTGAACGGTGTTTTGGTAACTGATTTTCCCCACTTATCTCGCTCAACTTCGTGCCTTTTATTTATTTACAGCATTGTCGTTAATAAGTCTTTTTTCTTTCCCTCATTTGGTTGTATTTGCACATTCCACTATAGTCTTATATTTTGTAACATTTCTCTTTACTTCATTGTGCCAACTAGGCACTTGCCATAATGAACTTTTAAAAATGTCTTTTAAAATGCATACGTTACTGCTTTGACTAGCTTTTGTTTTCGTGTATATCTGTGCAGCATTTTACATACATAGAATTTCTTCAGATAATTTTCCGAAATGAGTTCGGGTACTTATTATTCTCAATATTTATTAGTCCGTAATTATAAAACTGCGTATTAGCTCAGTGCTCCATTGATTTTTTTTCTTATTGCAAAGTGATTTCTACATGCTACATTTGGATAGTCTAGGTACCGATCTTGATATGAATTTGCATAGAACCTTGCTACTTTAGATTAACTTGTTATTTGGCCGTCTTTGGATCTAATTTGGTCAAAGACTCCAGTTAAATAGCAGAACATTGAAGCGGTAATCACTAATGGTTTGGATTTGTCAAGATTTATTGAGGTTCCGAATCCGCTGCTCTATCTGTCACTCATTATTCTCCGTTTTTTCATACAATGTATTTTGCTTGTCGGCATCATTAGAAGATAACCGGACCTTTGTCTCTACATCTGTCTCTAGGTTCCGGTTTCCAGATAGGATTGCTATTTTTTGAATGCGCTTTTGCATTATGAAATTGTTG